TCGAGAACAAACAGAAGGAGGATAAATCATTAGCAAATTTTAGTATTAAATGAGATGAGACGCATACCTCCAGAACATACACTTCCAATTCCTCCAGCCTTCAAATCTTCAATCACTACTTTTGCATCCTTACAAGCCCTATGTATAGCCACATCAACATGAGAGTTTTAATTTGATTGGTCCCAGAATCAGATAATCTAAACTAGTACATAGAATCCTAAATCTGTTAATTACTTCTTCCCAATCCGATAACACTTTTTTTATTGGAAAGTTTTTCTTCCATTACTAGTCTTCACTCTCACTGAGTTGTCAACTTGTAATGCAGTTCAACAAAAATATAAAGGAATGTAAAAAATGTGAATACACTTAAACATCTTGTTCACTCTGCCAAGTTCAAGTATGTGAGGAAAGTGTACGGACAGAACACTCCAATTAAAACTAGTAGCATTATTATACAGAAGAAACTTCATATGATTCAATAGCCTCTACCGAAAATAAACTTCAATTGGCACACAGATCGAAAATCGACGGAAAGAATAAAACACGGGGGAAGAACCAAGAAGTCAACAATGGAGGAGTTGTTTGTGAATGCGAGATTAAAACACAGGGGAAGCCATAAACAAATATATACCAATAGGCGGCAGGTGAAGCGGCGGCCGGCAGAGCAAGCAGTGTCGATCGCGGAGCAAGCGGTGGCGGTCACGGAGCAGGCAACGGTGGTCGGAGGAGAGAAAGCGTTGATGGAGGTGGGCGTTAGGGGAGAGAAGCGGCGGTCGACGGAGAGGAATCGTGTACTTAGGGTTAGAGTGTTTACAAAAACTAACAGGTTAGGCAGCTACGAATTTTAAAAGATCCATCTTTCGTACTCAAGTAATCTCGCTTGTAAATCTTGCTACGGATTTGAAAATTCGTCGTTATTTTAGCGACTGATTCTCAAATCCGTTGCTAAAATATAAACACAAATAATTCCAAAGTTTTAAATGTAGCAACAGATCATCCGTCGCTATAGTGTAAACACCAATAAATCCCATGTAAAAAGCTTCACGATGGACCTTAAATCCGTCGCTAAATTGTGAACACAAAAACATCTCATGTTAAAAATTTTGTGACGGATTTGAGGATCCGTCGCTACAATGTAAACACAAATAAATGTCTCTTGAAAATGTAGCAACGGATTTATATTTCCGTTGCTGATCCATAGCAATTTAAATTATAGAATCAACCCGTGAAAAATCCGTCGCAAATCTGTCTTTAATTTTTGCGCAAAAATTTACTGCTAATATTTGCTACGTATTTAACGACGAAAATATTCTGTCACAATATCCGTCGCTAAACCACCGCTAAATATTTATTTAACTAAAAAATTAAAATCAGTCACTAAGTTGTTGCTATTCCGTGGCTATATTAGCAACGGAATGAGTCCATCGCTAAATCCGTCGTTATTTCCGCGTTTTTTTTAGTGTAAGGATCGGCAATCAGGAACTCCTCTTGTGCAGGGTCCGATCGTGAGTGATGTCTACAGCCTTCCTGTCCAACGGTCTCAAGTCAATATCACCACCAAGTCGTCGTTGTCAAATTGGCATCATCAATTCGGTCATCCCAGTACTAAAATTCTAGCTTGTCATCTTAGAAATAATAATTTAAATTTTAAGCCTGAAGAGCTTAAAACGTTTGCATGTAACTCTTGCCGTATTAATAAAAGTCACAAACTTCCGTTCTCTTTTAGTTCCATGTCTAATACTCAACCGTTGTAGTTAATTTACACGGATGTGTAGAGTTCTGCAACGGTTTTTGTGGATGGTTTAAATACTACATAAATTTTGTCAATCACTACACTAAATATGTTTGGATGTTTCCCCTAAAACTCAATTCAGATGTTCACACTATCTTTCTTTAGTTTAAACGTATGATCGAGAACTTTTTTGACTATAAAATTGTTTCGATCTTTTCTGATAATGGGGGTGAATACGTTAAGTTAATTCCTATCTTTAATACTCTGGGAATTTCTCACTTCACTTCGCCTCCTCATACTCCGGAGCACAATGACCCGGCTGAACAACGACACAGGCACATAGTCGAAAGCGGTATGACGCTACTGCATTACGCGTCCATGCCCTACTCGTATTGGTCCTATGCCTTTCAAACTGCCGTTTATCTAATAAATCGCATGCCTACTGCAATTCTTAATCATTCTTCAACATATTAAAAGCTGTTTAATAAACACCCGAATTACTAGAAAATCCGGCCATTCGGGTGTTTGTGTTATTCTTTGCTAAAACCTTATTTTCTAGCTAAATTGAGTCCTTAGTCTCTACCATGTGTCTTCTTGGGTTATTTTTTAAGTCATTCTGCGTATTGGTGTTTAGAAATATCCAGTGGTTGAGTTTATGTTTCACGTCATGTTGAGTTTGTGCCAAATGAGATCCCGTTTCACACCCTGAGTCGTTGCTCTGTGTCCACCGCCGCACCATCAACCCCGCCCATGTATTTGAGTTTGGGTGTGCCTTTGCCTTTTCCTACTCCTCGCACTGCATGTATTAATATGCTACAGCCACTGTCGCACCATCTACCACTTAGTGCTGCCACTCCTCTACCCACACTGGCTTCGGCGTCGGACCCAACCATAGCTACACCGCTGATCACAAATCAACCAGCGCCGACTTTGGAGGTTACGGTCACTACCTTGGGGTCGCCGACGGCTGCTTCGCCTGTCGGTGCGTCGCTGGTTCCAAGAACGCTTCCTCCGCCTGCTTCGGAGTTTCTGGCATCCGCAGTTCCCACTGGAAGTCCCTCGCCGATTGGTTCACCTATTCAGGTGTATGTTTCAGCCTCTTCGTTGGCGGATACTCTTCCAGAACAAGGGGGTCGGGGCAGTTGGTTCAAATGGTAGAGGTAGCAGGTGATTTGGAGTCAGCGTTGGCGGCAGTTTCGGTGGAGTTTGATGCGGCATCAACGCAATCAGTGGACCAAGGTGCTGCAGTTGTTCCCTTGCGGAGGTCTAACCGGTCGCGCCGTCCGAATCCCAGGTATTTTGGTGATAAGTTCGTTAATCTGACGACTTCTCATCCCGTTGCTTCGTCAATTGAACCACGCACTGTGGACATTGCTTTGAAAAGTGATTTGTGGCGGGCTGCTATGACAGATGAATTTAATGCATTGGTGAAGAACTCCACCTGGGAGTTAGTGCCCCGGGCTAATCGCAATGTGGTTGGCTGCAAGTGGGTGTTTAGGGTGAAGTCGGTCACTGTTCGTATCATTCTTAGTATTGCGTTGTCACAAGGCTAGGCATTGCGTCAATTGGATGTCAACAATGCCTTTTTGAATGGCACGTTATACGAAAAAGCCTATATGGCGACGCCGATGGGTTTTGTAGACGAGTAGAAGCCAAATCATGTTTGTCGATTGAGAAAGGCAATTTATGGATTAAAGCAAGCCCTGCGGACTTGGTATCTTGAGTTGTCTGATTTTCTTGTTTTTGTTGGTTTTAAGAAGTCTGTAGCAGACACTTCCTTGTTTATTTATTGCACCTGTAATGTCACTTTGTACTTCTTGGTCTATGCCGATGACATAATTTTTACATGCAATAATGAAGCATTCACCGCGTCATTTGTCCTTAGCGGTTCTCTCTGAAGGATTTGGGGCCCTTACATAATTTCTTAGGTGTTGAAGTGGTTTCTACTGCGACTGGTATGTTTTTGTCACAAAGCTAGTATGTGGTTGACATTCTGGAGTAGTTTAACATGATGGGTGCGAAGCCGGTCTCCACTCTGATGTGTCCTTCGGTTGATTTGGGTGCAGATAACACGCCTTTTGACTCCACGTCTTATCGTCATGCTATTGGTCATTTGCAATACCTGGCGATTACTAGGACTGATGTTTCTTTTGCGGTAAATCGCTTAGCGCAATTTATGGCGTCGTCGACTGAGGGTCACTGGCAAGCTATGAAGCGGGTGCTGCGCTACTTGAAAGATACAGTACACTTTGGCCTATATTTTCCGCTTGGTTGTCCACTCTCTCTTGTGTCTTATTCGGACTCTGATTGGGGTGGCGATCGTGACGGGGAGCGGTCTACCACGACCTATTGTGTGTTTTTTTGGCTCTAATCTCATCTCCTAGAAATCTGCGAAACAACAATCAGTGTCTCGGTCCTCCACGGAGGCCGAGTTTCGAGCACTTGCCAATTCCGTTGCTAAAGTTATGTGGGTTTAGAGTTTGTTGCGTGAGCTTGACTATTTCTTTTTGCGTGAACATGTTACTTCTAGCTCCCTGTGAGTTAGTTATGTCTGATCGGTTGACCAGGTGGCTGTGTTTCGGTCCAAGCTTGGGCTCACTGACGGCGCCTCAATCTTGCGGGGTCGTGTTAAGACTTAGTCTAGTGTCTGTTTTATTTGTTTGTATTTGCCTAGTCTTGTGGTTCAGGTGTAACTGGTCCTTCTTTCACGGCTTTGTATCTTATTTAAATGCTTTGGTTTACGATGAATAAATTAGAGAAGTTCATATTCTCATAGACTCTGCCTGAGTTTTTAATTTGCGATCTGAAATGGCTCACCGGTGTTCTTATGTTTTCCGGCATTCAATGGTCCAAGTAATCGAATGGAGGCCGGCTGTCTTGTTGATGAAGACCCCGAATTCTGGAATGGTGTGAATGCATTAGATGTTGGGTGGTGCTTGCAGCCTTTGGGTCTCTCAAAAGGTTGGTGGCATGATTAGTGTGTCTAGGTACTCTCAGTGGAATTTAATGCATGGATTTAAAATATTCGTTCAGAGTGAAGATGGTCTTGCATATTGATAAGTGCTAAAAATGCTACATTTTGTGTGGTATTAGCAATCCCATTCGCAAAAGTGTTTAAATTTTGAACCTCCTTTTCAGTTGTAAGACCACGCAAACACAAATTCTTTGTTAAACGAAGAACTTCACAGTTATTTCACAAGTAAGATGAATTAATACTGGCTTGTACTATATATTGTCTTGTGCCTTTCGGAATAACTAGTAGTATTTATCAAAAATCACCACCCAGGACAACTGTTTTTCCACCAAATGACATTTCTGAACTTCTTAAATTTGTGAAACGCATTATAACTCTCACTGTCCTATCCAATGCTTCAAAACAATTTTTGTGCATCATAGGAGCTTCATCCCATATGATCAACTTTGCTTTTACGATCAATTCAGCAAGTGGACTACCTTGCTTAATGTTGCAAGTGACTTCATTCACAGCAATGGGTATAGCAAACCTTAAGTGAGCAGTCCTACAACCATGTAGTAGTAGTGAAGCTATACCGCTTGATGCTACATTTAGAACAATTTCACCCTTTGACCTTAAAGCATCTGACATTTTCCTCCATAAAAATGTTTTGCCTGTTCCACCATATCCATAAATAGGGGTGGAAAATTCGGTTCGGGTTACCCAAACCGAACTAGTAATAAAAAACTGAACGGTTTGGCAAAAACCGAATCGAACCGAACACCATTTGATTAATTTAATAATAATAATAATAATAATAATTATTATAATAATAATAATAATAATAATAATAATAATAATAATAATAATAATAATAATAATAATAAAAGAAGTAAATCCAAGTCCTTGATGTTTGCTCCGCCGTTCAGTTCCTATTCTCACGGGTATGTCCCTTAAATTTTTTATTTGATTTCTTTATAGCTTGTTTTCTACTTTGCACTTTTGTTGTTTGTCGCAATTGTTCTTTACCTCACAATTATGGCCTTGTTTGGTAAATGGTTGTTAGCTGATAGCGGTTAGCTGATTGGGTTAATTAGAAGGTATAACTAGTTGATAACATTGGTTGATTGTAGAAAGGCGTTTGGTAAATTAGCTGTTAGTTTATAGCTGTTTGGTATAATTTTTTGTCACAGAAAGCTAATTGAAAAAGTTACTTTGAGCAGCTTTTTGAATTTTAGCATTTTAGAGTTACAAAAATCTAATTAACCAAACACTTATATTGATTTTTTAACCAAATCAAACAATTAATAGTGGTCAAATAAGCCACAATTGGCTTATAGGCTAACTATTTTACCAAATAGGGCCTATATCTAACTTGAGCAATGACGGATTGTGTCAAAAAATTAACTATATAGTACTTTACACTTGTTCTTCTAATATTAACTATAAAGATAGATGATTATTCATCTTGTCAATAAATTATTTCAAGTGAACAAACTGAAGAGTCGGTTGTGCAAAAGAGTCAACTGATGCTTGGTAATTAGTACTTAGTATTGTGTTTGAACTTTTGATTGCTATTTTGTTATATAATGTTTAGACTTTGGATTTGGATTATGTGATTATGTGAATATGTATTGTTTGGTAATATGTTCGAAAAATTAGGAAATGTTGAAATTTGGGGATCTAAAAATGAACCGAATTAAATCTGAACCGTTTCAAATCGAATCGAAACCAAACCGAACTCTAATGTTAAACCGAATGGTTTAATTTTTTTAAAATGAAAAAATCAAAACTGAAAAAAAAAACCGAACTGAAACCTGAAACGCCCTCCCCTATCCATAAACAAAGAACAAACCACCTTTATTAGATTGAACATCTAGGTGGCTAAGTTGTTCATCAGTTAGTTTAGACACCAAAATTTTCATGTTCTTGTTTTAGAGCTTCTCGGTCATATGCCAATTCCTCGTACAACAACCGATTACCTAAAAAGTATTCATTACTTCCATCTGACATTGACATGGGTGGATAATTAGCTAATGACTTGTTCCAAGTATTCAACAACTTCTCAACTTCAATCAAAACATACTTTTTCTTCTGCTGTTCATTGAGGATTAAATCTATACAATTTTTTTTTAAAAATACTCCCTCCGTCCCATTTTATGTTTCTGGTTCGGTTAACGAGGCTTAACTGAAGTTATTTTTAATCCAATTTTTCATAATAATAATGTTAGTATTAGTATACAAAATTTATATACTTAGAAACTACACTAAAAGTACTATTAAACACAAAAAAAAAAAAAGTTAAATTTAAAAATAAATAAAAAATACTAAAGAAAATAAACAAAGAAGAAAGAGTTGTTTGACCCATGTATAGTATGTAGGACAGATAAAATGGGACAGATGGAGTAATTGATTTAGAGATAAGAAGTCCGAAATTTTAAACAATGTTAGTTAAGAATTGTATACCGGGAATATTTAGATTTCTTCGAGCATTGAATTCAACATCGTCTGATAGGTAGTGCCAAACAATTTCCCAAACCTTTTCTGGCTTGGCCATTGAATTGAAGGTCAATAACGTGACAAACAATTTCCGCGAAGAATGCGTTGAGGACCACAACGCTGCTTTAGTTATTGCATCAACATATTCTTTATCATCCTCAATTAAACCATGTGCATAACATGCATCTCTAAATGAATTGTATTGCACAGCATAAACCCTTTTTTATGTCATCAAAGCATTTCGGTCCACGAACAATGTTAAGAAGACATCTGAGATAAAAGATTTCTCCACTATTATGCAGAACATAAAAAATACGACCAATTGCCCACTTCCTTTGCCTCGGATGCCATTTTCTTTTATCTTTCTTCCAAACAAATTCAGTTGGCATTTCTGCATATGTCAATTGTCGCGCCTCAGTGTATTTGATGTTAGCATCAAACCATGCAGTGAACATACTTTACCTAACCGTTGGATGGTTAACAACATCATCGACCACATCATGATCATCAAATATTATAAATTGCTCATTTGGTAGATGAAAACTCAAACGCACAACCGAAGGATCCCTAAATTGTATATCAAATGCACTTATCCTCCAAATTGCCTCACATGGTGAAATATACCTACAATCATAAAACATTTTGATCTCATCTATCACCTTTCCAGTAACTTCTTCTACAGCATTGTTGTAGAATTCAACTGTCACCCTATCATTTCCCTTGTTGACGTACTTGAATAAGTACTTAATTGATCGAGATTGATTACATCATTCAACATTGATATGAGCCCTATACTTCATCAACAAATGTTTGTTGTGTAGGACAACATATCTACTATCAAGCTCAATTCCATTCTTCTTTATGGTACGACCGTTATCACTCCTACAATAGATCGGATAACCATCTTCATCCAAAGTGGACTTCTCAACACATTTCTTTGGGTAGAATTTTGAGCATCTACCATTCACCATGCAAGGTGAACTCTTTCGAACTGCACCACATGGTCCGTGCATCATAAATTCTTCTACAGCTTTGTAATACTCTGGATCACACAAGTCACTTGATATCTCAGCATATATCAACCTATTTATATCTCTCGGAGTATTAGAAGAATGTCTCTTTGCCCAAAAAAAAATAATAATATGTGCGCATGCGATAACTCTTTTTTTTTTTTTTAGAATTCAATTTTATAAATAACTATAAGAAAAATAAAGAAAAAGTTATTGTTACTATAAATAAAAGTTGTAGATATTACTATAAATAAAACTTGTATATAATGTAAAATATTAAAATTATAAAATTTACCTGTTGAAACAAATCCAAACATGTTGTCTTTCCGAATCTCCTTTATAAGTGCATTTAACTTTATCTTAAAAACACGACATGTTATATCAACCCGATCTTTAGCCTTCAATCTCCTTGATTGTAAAAACCTTTCAATTTCTGGCCACTTGGGGTTACATGTGAATGTAATGAAAAGATTTGGATAGTCAATCCATCTGCAGATTGCTATCGCATCTTGGTAATTCTGAACCATATATCTTGCCCCACCCGTAAAAACTTGATGGCAAAATGATTCGCCTTCCTTGAGCCGATGGATATATTTCTCACGTGTTAAAGCATCTGTCAAACACTTATACGATTCACATCTAAGAGATTTTTGGTGAGTCCTGATGTAGATTAATCGCCCTGATTCAATCATAGTATATGCATCCACCAGAAATTGTTGAAATAACCTTCTTGAGTACAATAATGTTGATACGATAAGAAAAATATACCCTAAGACTATTGCGATTTCTACCTGTTTGGCTTTGACCATCAACATCTTAGAATTGTATGTCCTCTCTATACCCGTCTTCACCATATAAAAAGAGCAATGGATACTAAAAATCTAAAATGGTAAATATGCAAGATTTAATTCATTGATTCTTTGAAAATAAGGGTAATCACATTATCTTGAAACATTACCGTCACATCAGCTTTGAGATAATATACATTACCAAGTAATTTCATAATTTTGAACCAAACAAAGTAAGATAATCTAGGTAATCTAAGATTAGATTACCTGAACCAAATGCCCCCTAAAAGGAAGATGTCTTGGGGGTTCCTCTCCCTCGTGATGTTCCTCCCTCTCTCTGTTAGCTAGGCTTTTTGCTTTTTGTATCTCTGGGGTGTCCCCCTCCAACCTGAACGTAAAAACAAAAATGTGTTGACTTGCATGGAATTTTAGGGGCTGATTAGAGCTAAACGTTTTAGCATTTCAAGTGGGCTTTTGCGTTATTTGGGCTGTTAATTTATTTAATAGTCCAATTAGTTTTGCTTGTTATGTCGTCAATTTTGTTACAGCCATGGGCTATTTATGTTTTAGAACTTGGGCTTCTAAATTGAGGTCCATTGATCTTTATTTCTTGTAATTTCAGGGCAATTTATACCGTGCATCAGGACGTCCATTGCATTGTGCGTCCTAATACAAACGACATCGTTTCAGATTTCTTTTTTTTTTTTGAAATTTCGCTACCCTATGCTGTCGGTTAATTTTCTTTAAAAAAAAATTCTCATGTTTAAAAATGTACATAATTTTATACTAGAATACATATAATTGTATACATGAATCTACATAATTGTATAACAAAATACACATACTTTTTTAAAAAGATAATACACATAATCTAACATAATACATAATATACATAAACTTTTAACATAATACACATAAACTCTTAACATAATACACATAAATTTCCTGTTTCGGATGTACATAATTGTATAAAAAAATGTGCATAATTGTATAAAAAATGTACATAATTGTATAAACAAATACGCATAATTATATAAACAAATACACATAATCACGTCAACTCCCTACATAACTCCCTAGTTACTCTACCCCTTTTCTACACTCAGTAGAAGATTTACAATGAAATACAAAGATTTCTCTCACTCAGACTTGAATTCTATCTTATATAGCTCAATATACCACTTGATGATTGATTGTATAATTTTCTTTGTTGTTCAAGTGTTTTCTGAATCTCTGTTAGATTCGTGCTTGTCTTCAAGTCTGCTTGGGCAATTTATAGCAGATGAAAGCTATTTGCCCGTTGATCAACTTTCGATCTCGATCGTCCATTTTGAATTGTAGTTGATCAATTAAT